CATTCGGGAATGCATTGATATTGCTCGCAGGAGATTTTACGCAAACATTGTGTGTACATTAACACTAGCGGGCGAGATAAATGCTTGCCTGAAATAGTCAACATTATGACAAGACGAACATACATGCATACACTGCAGCCGAAGTATTCTCGCGACAATTACTGGATATTGGGAACGAAAAGCTGCCAGCCAATGAGAGATTAAGACGAATTTTATGGCCCGATAATTTTTGTAACTTAGAAACATCGAAAGGAGAACTGATCGAAAGAATGTTTCTTTATTAAAAAAATGAATTATAGGAATCACGATTGGCTCAGTGAACGGGCTATTCTTGCTGCGAAGAATAAGGATGTCTATCAACCAAATAATAGTGGTATTGACAACAGTCGTTGCTTGTGCTGATCTGCTTTTTTACCAGACTGCCGGCCACTTGCTCACTTTGGTGAATACCACTAATGTTATTCAATCCAGCATTCAACGTGAGGAAATAGCATTTACGTCGATAAACACCGTTGTGGGAAAAAGACCATCCAACGGAATTTTTGAATTCGATTGATCTTCCTGGGAGATCCCACATACTGAAATTGAAAATAGGTGTGACAATTATCATGTTGCGGAATATTAATCAGCCAAAACTTTGCAACGGCACGCGACTCGCATTTAAGAAATTGATGAAGAAAGTAGTGTAAGTAAATATTTTAACGTGGCCTTTCAAAGGTGAAGAATTCCCATGATTCCGACCGATACACCATTTCAATTTAAAAGATTGCAATTCCCAATTCGATTGACATTCGGAATCACAATCAATAATGCTCCAGGTCGAACTTTGGAAAAGTATGGTTTGGATTTAGATGCGGATTGCTTCTCAGATGTTGCGTAATCCTGTGTCGGCAAACAAGATATCCTTGATATCTATGCAGAGAATGGAAAAACAACAAATATTGAGTGCACACAAGTATTTATTACATAACCAAACACTTATGAAACGTATGGAACAAATTCCGTTAATAATTTACCATCCATATAACAGGAATATGCCACAGCAGAGCGTGGCAGGGTACAGCTAGTTTACACATATAAGTTGTATAAACGAAGAAATATGCCAGTGCGCAAAATGTCCCCGTCTCAAAAGATTTCCCCATATATGTACAAATGTACATTTTTAAGAAAATAGTCCCGATTTTCTATTAGCATAAACTAAGGCACTTCGCACATTACGCGCCTAATCGTAGTAGACTAATCGTTTCGTCATGCCGCACACTTTGGCGCCCTGCAGAAGCGCTGCTAGCACACACATTACACATTTTCTGGCCGGTCTTTCTCACTAATACACTTCCGCGAATATTTGTGCAATAAAATATTGCTTAAGTGTTTATGGTTTAATACAATTGGGACGAGTTTTAGCACAAAATCATTAATTTTCAATTATGTCCTATTGAAATGACATAATTTTTATTTGCAACACAAAAAAGTAATTTGTTTACTTCTGATTTCAAAACGGCAAGCGCCTTACAATGTTTATTATGGATCGTAATATACAGAGCTTCATTGCAATACATGCGTTCGGCAAAAAAGCATCATACTTTAGTATGCCGGAACGATTACAATACTATGACTAGGCGGAGCGCCTAACCGGTTTTCAACATTTTAGGTTGACGTGGATGAATGTGAACACATGGCAATGGGGTACATCGTTTACAGCATGAAAATTTTCTAAAAATTCTGACAAAAAGTTGAAAATTTTAATGACTTTATTTTTGTGAACTTTGTATAAAGTGTGAAACTTTGATTCATATGGTTTATATTATAGAATGAACTAAGTATTTCATAAATAATGTAAATAATATATCATGAAAAAAATTGTGAATATTATATTAGAACAAATTGTACACTTTCATTTTTAAGAAAATAGTCCCGATTTTTTATTAACATAAACTAACCGGCTCTAAACATTTTAGGTTGACGTGGATGAATGTGAAGACATAGCAATGGAGTACAACATTTCCAGCATGCCCACGTTTGTATTTATTAAAGACCGTAAACAAATAAATTCGTTTGCAGGCGCAAATGGTGAAAAGTTGGCGGATTTCATAGCAAAGAATGTATAAATGTAAATTATAAAAGTTGTATAATTTTTTACTTTTTCATAATTTTTCGTTACATAAACTTCTGTTTTGTATTATACTGATTGTAGCAAATATAAAATAAAAAATTATAAGGTATTTTGCATAATATGTATATATGTGCATATATTTTTTAACGACCCCTGATTGCGATTTAATCGTAATCGACAAAAGGTAAAATTTACAGAGAGGTTTTAATTCTTTCTTAAACAGTGCAAAAATTTATTTGGATTTAAATGGAAAACATTATTGAATGCTAGCTTTCTACTAGGACTATTTATTTTTTTCGCATATCCTATTGTTTAAAGGTAAAATTGCGCTTACGATATTTTTCCTGAACAAGCTGAGAGGTAAGTTATCAAAGAATTGGCTCTTGCGATAGTTTTTATGTTGTGTAATCTGGACATTTATAAAATCGCATTTTAAGGATTGTTTGAAAAAACGGAATTTTAAGTCAATTAAAAATATACACTGCCAATCAGCAGAATAAGCTCAACATATTTTTAACTTTACCTGTTTGGTGCATCCACAAGTTGTTTCGTGGATGCAGTGTCAAAGCTCATTAAATTTTCTAACAAATATCTAAACCGATCACATTGGCGCTATTATTTGGTATTTCTGGCATTTTTTTAGGAATGATAAAAAAAGTAAAATTTAATCCTTGACCAAAATAGGCTGAACCTATATTAGGGAGATTTTTGGCAAGTTTCGAAATCAGTTATTATATTCCTCGACTCGTTGTGTGTCTTAAACCTAGTTATTGGAGAAAAACATTGCCTAACGAAAACTTTTAATCCAGAGATTAAAATCAAAGACTGCAATTTTATAAAAAGAAAGTTAAAATGCAAAGTTATGATAATTGAAAGTGATAAAATCAGAATCCTATAAGCTATTTGAAAGGAAATAAACGGCAAAATGAAATAACTTAGAAAGTGTGAATCCATATGACCGTATAAGCTGGTGTTAAGATGGCCATTTCGAATTCAGTTGAAATTTTGTCTATACCAGTGCATACAATAGCAACATAAGCCCCGGTAAAAGTCTGTTATTCATCTTTCTGATATGCTTTTAAATCTTAGAACCTATTGGCAAAGCAAGTTTCAAAAAGACCCCACTAGACTTAGCGATTGCGATGCAATTGCATAATGGCAGATGGCACTTAATATGGGAGAGAAGCTGATTTTGAAGCATTCAGTTGTAGCAAGAGCCGATGGAACTTTGGTTAAACCACAGTTCAAACCAGGGCTGCACATTAACGTTAATTTTTATCAATAAACGAAATTACAAAATCGTTTTTGTTTTTTACATCGATAATGTTAACATTATGTGTTTATCAAAAAAAAAAAAAAATCGTTTTGTTCATTATCAGAAAAATATGTTAACAAGAATTTAGTTTCGTTGATTATCAAAAAAAATATCAAAAAAGAAAATTGTTTCTGCAGCAACCAAAAAATTTAATAAACAGACAAATTTTATTATTTGAAGCAATTGCGGGATCAATGGGTCGTAGAAAAGTAGTAGTAGCGTCAATTGTAGTTATAAGATGTGCCGCGCATACCATCCAGAGGGTCAATTCTCGTTGTGCGTTATTGCCTTTTTTTCGGTGTTAATTTTATACTTTTCACTTCACGATAACGCAGAACGGCAACAATATCATTAGCTGTTTGCTTCAGAAAAAAATAGAATGTGCCGAACTGAACGGCGAACCGTACAGCCGTACTTCAGCATCCTCATCGGCAAAAATGTTTTGAAAGCAAATAAAAAATTGTCCGGACAAGAACGTTGAACCCGCCTTTGTTTCATGTATGGAACCCATAAAACAATTTAAGGCGAACCGGAGACATGACATACTTTTTTACGAAATCCGTTCGACTTGTATATATACATAAGTGTATATATGTATGCTGTGGCATACTAATATAACTACGCATACATATGTGTAAGCATATGTACAAATACTATATGTAAGTGTAAAAATTATCTGTTATTTTTAATTTTTGTAAAAATGACTGCGACTGCAATATGAATGAATTTCAATTCCATAGTTTTACGTTTATTCAGTTTGTAATTAGCTTTTCAAACTCATATAAAATAAAGACATTTATATTTCTTTGCTTAAAACACACAAATTTACTTGCATTTAGAGTATTCGCACTAAAGCAAGACTATAAAACTAGTTTGTTAGCATATTTTAATTAATGGTAATAATATCCCGGAATATCTCGGGATCCCGGAATTACCAATTTAAGATCCCGAAAT